TATAGACAGGGGGGGGGGGGGGTAGAACCCTCACCCATAACCCCCGATTTTTAAATTTTTTTTTAACAATTATAAATTTAAAAATATAATTTATATTGTTAAACAAATAACCTAAAAAGAACAAGCAACATCTATAAAGATCATAGATAATCATAAGATTCAAAAATATTTTGAATCGGGGAAAAAAAAGACTCAGGTGAAGGGGTGTCGTTGTTTTTATTTCGCTTATAACTCTTTTTATTTATTAATTAAAAAAACTAATTTGACGAATTAGTAAGTAATAATGCTTTAGCAGGCGCATAGCTATGGGGTGATTTTACGATCGCTAATTTGCTTGTTCTCATAAATAGCATTTTAAGCTAATAAAAATTTCCCCCTTGTTTTATTTTTAAGATTTTTATTTTATCATATTGATAGTAGACGCTCTCTTCTTGTATATTCTATCTAACATTCATTTTTTTATAAATATAAAAAATCGTGTAATGGATTGTTAAGCATACACTACACTGCTCATATTTTCAATTTCAGAAAGAACGAACGAAAGAAAGAAAGAAAAAAGAAATAAATAAAGGGAAACTATTTTACTAAATGCAAGCTAAAGTCAAAAAGGCCGAACCTGAAATTTTAAAAATTTGGACAGGACTTAACATTAAAAATTCCATGATTGTGCCAAAAATGGTTCCTTTTTTAAATTTCAGGCCTAGATTTTCAAAATAGATTTTAAAAAAACTTCCAGATGCTTAAAATTTTGATCTCTGTATGTGTCTGATATAGATACAATAAATAAATCAATGCTAGGCTATTTTTTAAAAAATTTTACACGATTTTTATAATACATCTGATAGCGATTTTAAGATATTACATTACCAATTAATGTATATTTAATTTTCATGGATTGCAAAAAAATTAAAAATAATTTTATATAATTATAATTTTTTTAAAAATCGGCGAAATAGGAAATCATCTTTTTCAAAAACTTAGATGGATCTCAAATTACACCTGTAATAAATTGCTTTTCAAATTGTATTTTAAATATCAAATTTCAACAAAAACTTTGTTGATAAGGCAAAAGAAAAAAAAAAGAACATTATATAAAGTGACATGTTTCATTGATTCAAATATCTCATCTCATTTTAAAAAGCACGAATAGTTTTAATAATATACTTTATATTTTTTGTATAATTTTAACTATTATTTATAAAGGTCGAATAAAGATAAACTGGCAAAAACTAATATAATTAATTTTACATTGAAAGAAAGATGGTCTCTATTTTATTTCATTTTATCGATTTAGATTTACACAAGTGTAGAGTCGTTACAATGAAGAAAAGGGTATTTTAAAACCCCCCGCCCTCCATTATATTTATGCACCTTTTTCCAATTAGAATTTGTGATTTAAAAGAAAAATCTTTCGTAATTTCAAGTTTACTCATTATTTTAATAAATTTTACTTAAAAACAGGGACCCGGAGTGAACCATAACGAACCGTTAAACCATTATAAACCGCTATAAATATCTGAACCATAACCGTAATCGAACCGATATAATTATTTTTTGAAGGAGTAAAAAGAACCTTTATAAAAAAAGGGTTAAATCGGTTCAAACCGGTTCAGTTATTATATTTTGGAAATGAAAATAATTTGAATATCCAGAATTATATAAAAGTACTGGCGGTTCCCGCAATACAAAAATCTGTAGAAAGGGCCTTTTCGGGGCTAAAATTTGTGTAATCGTCTCAACGAACAAAAAGGAATCCATTTATATTAGAAAATATATTTACGTTCAAATAATATATTTAAAAATGAGTTATTTTGAATCTTATATATTTTTTTTATAGATGCTTATAATAAAAATAAATTAGAAGATGGTGTTGCTTCAATAAAAAAAAATTATAATCGTAATGTTCCTTTATAATTAAAGAACCGTAACCAAAACATAACCATTATAATTTTTCACATCATGAACCGTAACCAAACTGAACCGTTATAAATAACGGTTCGGGTCCCTGCTTAAAAATGGAAGAATTAAATTAGTCATTTACATTAATGCAACTTTATATAAACCTACAATCATTGCTTGTTAAAAAAAACTTTTATCTAGTAAAAATATATCAAGATATACAGCTACACTCTTACAAAATATATCTACTTAAAGATACGTACAGTTACTTCACGCTACATTTTTTTTTAAAATTATTAAAATAAAAATGATGTGTGAAAATTGGAAATCTGCTGTTAAGTATCAAATTTTATGGAGGTTCATAGTTGGTTCAAAAAGATTTTTGATTATTTCTTTCATTACATTTTTTTTTTGTGGTAGTCTATTTTTAATGAATTAAAGGCTAGGGATTCTTAAATCTTGACTATTGAATTTGCTTCAATTTATCTATGAATATTTTTTTTCCTCCTTAAACTTCGTTATATTTTTAAAAACTATTAAAAGCAATAAAATCAAGTATGTTTTTCATTTTCAAACGAACTGAGAGAATTACTTTTTCACCGACGACAATTGTGGATAGAAATTCAAAAATACAATGTTAACTTCTAGGAAATCAACAAAAAAAATAGTTGATCCTTACATATTTATTAGGGCTGTGCCGATATTAAATATCGGATCGGTACCGATATTTGGCGTTTTACGACAAATATCGGATTGGGCCGATACCTGTAAAAAACCGATCCGATCTTTTATTTTTTTTTGCTATTTTATATTATATTATTTTATGTTATGTATATTTATTTTACATAATTAGAAAATTTTCTAAATAATTTTTTAAAATTTTATATCTTTTTTAAAACAGATTTATAGTATTTTAAAAGTTTCTTTTTATAAAAATAGGAACACCCAAAGTTTTTTTTATTTTAAATCTTTTTAAATAACGCCAATTTTTTTTTTATACTTTAAATAAAAGAATTTTTTTAAATATGGTATCTGAATTATGGAAATATTTTACAAAAGACAAAGATAATTTTGCAAAATGCGTTATCTGCGGAATCATCTGAGTCTGCCTTCAGTACAGCAGGAGATATAGATAGTCCATATCGTAGAAGCTTATTCCCAGAAAATCTGGAGACTCTCATATTTATTTAAAAAATCTAATATATTATAATTTTATATATTAAATATTACAATTATATAATTCATACCAACATAAAATTGATATATTATTAAACATATATTTTTTTTATCTTGTAGAAATAAAAAATTAAATTAAATTCATAATTCGATTTTTTGCATAAAAAATATTGATTTCATAATTACACTTGGTTCAAACGGGGGTGATTGAAAATCAGTAATATCGGATCGGGTTTGAAGCAATATCGGAAAATATCGGATCGGATCGGTGAAAAATATGTGGATCGGCACAGCCCTAATATTTATCTGTTTTATTATTTATGTTGAAGTCAGGTTTACTGAAATATTATATACTCTTCTTTCGGAAAAATACAATAATGCTGTGTTCTAGTTCAACTTAATTTTGATACTTATTGCTGTTTAGTCCTAGACTAAACAACTTTTGAACTAGGACACCGTATTTTGGTTTGTTTTAACTTTTTTTTTCCTTTTACTTTTTACAACAGCCGGCTGTGGAAATGAGTGAAGCCAAGACACAGCCTAAAAATACTTTTCTAAAATATTTGCATAGCCATCTTAAGATAATACATTTATAAGTAAAAAAATATTAGCATAACTATCCTAGGTAAAAACATGTAGTATATATATAACAGGCTAATTTATATTATATAATCAATTAATATGTTAAGAATGTAAACAATATACAATACAAAATCTATAATGTCGAAATCATTTATGAATATAAGGGGAAAAATTTAGAATTTTGAATTTCAGTTATGAGAGAAGTGGGCTTTTTTTGAATCAAGAGGCTTTGTGGATGTATCCATTAACAAGCTGCTCCTTTTTTATTATTAGTTATGCTTATTTTATTTTTTTAAAATTAAATTTCGATAAATCGACCCAGAAAATTCAATAGTTGATCTTTCTGATGTTCGATTTTTTCTTCTTCTTCATATATTTCTGTAATTGGTATTAACCATTTAAAATTTTTACTGTCATAATCCATTCAGAGTTATATGAACGGAAATAGAAGCTGGAGTCCTCTTTTAATATTTCTAGGGAACCCTAGAACCTTAAAAGTTGCAAGTAATTTATATTTACATTTAATATTTGATCCGTCTGATGTTGTGCCGATTTGTTTTTCATTCGTTCTTCTAATTAGTATTAATCATTTATAATTTTATTGTCATAATCCATTCAGAGTTTTGAACTAAAGCTGGAGAAAGAACCCAGAAACCTCTCTTAAAAATTAATTGGGAATCAGGATCTAAAATGTTAAGAGTGCAAGTGATTTTAAAGGTTTTATCGGCTTCCTTGCAAAATTAAAAAAATAACCAAAGCTATTATACGAGGGGGGGGGCTGTCATTAACTCGTATAGGTTCTCACATCAGGACGGGTTCGTGGACCACGCTTAATGAATGAATGAATATAATCTTTAAAAATGTTTTAGTGGATCATTTTAAGAGGGGTTTATTGTTTATTATTGGCTTAATTTTTTTGGATTATTTTCTTTGTTTCTGTCTTTCTTTTATGATTACTTGTAATAGAGTTTAGAACCGGAACTAGAACCATTTTTTTTGAAAAATATTTGGATCCAGTATCAGATTTATTTTTTCGTGTAAGTTCCAAAACTCCCCATCCATTATATAAAATATAGGGTTGTTTATTTTTTATCGTACAGAAATAAACTCAAAATTGTGTATCGATGATGATACATATATTCAAGGAATGTTCAACTGAGAGAATTTTGTTTAATTGGATGAGAGGTTGGTTTTTAATAAAAAATTTAGTCAGTTTTATTAACTGTCAAATCTGACAGGTCATGTGATTGTAAATCAACCAATAGAAATAATAAACCACTGTTGTAACGCCAATTTTTTTTTGAGTTGAACCATAATCATATTATTTTTTTTATCCATTTTAGAATATGGCTAAAAATTCATTTTTATGGAAAATCGAGATCGATCCGCCATCATATTTTTACGGGACTATACACGTCCCCTACGATATGGTGTGGGAGGATATTCCGGATAACGCTAAGTTAGCATTCGAACGTAGTCATTCCGTATTTTTCGAACTCGACCTGACCGATTATAATACCGTACGAGAGTTGGAAAGATGTCAACTCCTTCCAAACGGGCTCACATTAGACCAAATTATACCTAGTCATTTGTACAAACGTCTTAGGCGGCATATTGCGTCGATTCGCGATTTAATTCCTTTTTGGTTAAACGATAAAATGACGTCACAGTACGAGGTTAAAAATTTGGACGAAAAAATTGACAGCCATTATATAGACAATCGATACAAAAAAGATAAATCCTTGCAACATCAAACCTTTAATATTGATAATAATAATCTTAAGTTCCAAAAATTAGTCACACTCGGCTTGATTACCTCAAACACGATACATTCTATCAACAACATTCCCGCGTCCAACCACATATCCCACAAATATAGAAAGATTAGGACTCATTCCAGCGCGCGAAAACTCAAGGAAACGGATGATTCTGCTTCTAGACATAAGATGGGCGATCAGGATTCTGAGGCTATATTTCAAGCCATTACTGCAGATTGGCGTCGTAAAAGACCTATATGGATAATGTTGATGCTAAACGCCTTGACTGAAAACGATATAAGAGCTAGAGGTACCCCCGTCCTAGACCTATTTTTATCCCTTAAAGCTGACAAATCTAATAAAATCGTTGGAGCCATCGAACGGGTCGAAGATCAATGTACCCCGTTAAACGATTTGAATTCATCACAAGTATAATAATAATAATAATAATTGGCTGAAATTTTAAAAAACCAAAATAACTTTTTTAAAATAATTTATTATGAAAAAAATGATAGAATGAAACTTAATATCATGAATATTAATGTGGGTAAGAAATGCTAAAAGATACTATATAATATTTTTTTTAAATATAACAAACTTTTTTTTAAAAGGCTAAATTTTAGTTTTTTTTGAAATTATTAGTGCCCTATTATGTTAATAAGAATTTATAAGAAGAAAAAAAAATTGATAACCACCAAAATATTTTATATATATATATAAATGTGATCTCGACAAGAATATTGATTTATTATTAATAATGAAATCAGTCAAAATTGTACAAGGGTTTTATATTACATTACAAAATATTCTCAATATTTAAATGAGTCGAAGATGAGTTAGGTATAATGCACAATTTTGATGCTGTATTATATATGATAATAATTTAAGTCTCTGCTGACCAATGTAAATTATCGAGTGTTTAGGCGAAGTTTTTTTTACATTCGGGTCTTCGCGTAAATTTATAATTAAATTTGGTCTATTTTCTTTTATACATTACGGTATTTTCTCTCTTCTCTTTAAAGGTAAGTTTGCAGTTTACACCCCCCCCCTCCTCCATGTGAGTTATATAAACGCAAATAAAACTATATCATGAAGTATTAAATACTTTTTAGAAATGTTATTTATATAAATTTTTTTAAATTATTGATAATATTTATAATTCTCGATTGTATATAATAAATCATCATACTCCGAGGTATTGATAGCCTTGAACCAAACTCTCACCAAGCACGAACACAATCTTAGAGCTTCCACCGGTGTCAAAAACCAGATTGGCGATTCATCTCAAAAACATGCATTTGATTCAGAATATTTGGATAAATTGCATACCTCCACATCCGATATAGCCAATATCTACCTGTGTGGCAACGTTGACGTTTTGATACATTCACCCGACGATGCCAATATGATTTTATCCAAGAACGCGTTTTATTCCAATCCTGTAAAAGATGCTAACGATGATTTTCAATCTATCGAATTGCCGGAAGAATACGATCATCATTATAGAGCAAAAGACAAAACAACTATCGGACCTCATATTATAATCGACAATTATTTTAGGCAAGAATTGATAGCCGGGAGAAATAAGAAGATGGCCGAAAGAGCCATCGAAATTATCAAGAGAAACGCCGGAAAAAATAGCGTATTTTTCGCATTCGGAGCTGGTATACATTTTTCTCTCATGTTTTCCCTTATTTTTTGCTATAGTTTAAAGATTTGTTAAAAATACTTTCAGCCTAGCACGTAAATACTTTTTTCCTGGCCCTTAAAATATGTTTGTACAAATAATTCTTAAATAGAAGGAAAACGACATAAACATGACTAAATAAGCTATAAAAAATTGGAAACGTTATCCTTCATTCAAATTTAAAACGAATTTGCGGCGTAATATATATAAATACACAAAAATACAGCATATTTTGTAAACTTCGCTGCAAATTCGTGCTAACCATGAATTCAGGGTAACCCCTCGTTCACAAGAATGATTTCGTGGGCGAGAATACAAAAATACCGCATATTTTAATGATTCGCCGCGAATTCGCTCTATGAATGAAGGGTTAAAATTCTGGCCCGGGCCAAAAAAATCTTGAATTTACTCGTTGATTAGGAGACGTGTTTGTAACGGTCGTTTAAAAAAATATATTTAATGAGATTATTCGTATCGCTAAATTTTATGTTTATTCATTAAATTTATATTAACTTAAAATGATTTGGGCCGCGTCCTACTAGCTAGACTAAAAATTTTTCGTTCTGAATTCTGTTTAAAATAGCATCCTAAACACCATTTTTTTAAGTGATATACTTTGACCACTGACCTGGAACAAATGAATTTTTTTTCCTTCCTGTTCCGGCCAAAAATATACGTATTCATATTTATCTAAATCTAAAAATATTCGCTATTCAGAAACGGATATTTTGAATTCTAAAAAAACGCATTCATAAGCCTTTTTTATATTTAATTAAATTTAAACAAATATATTTACATTACTAAATAATATTTTATAATTATACCAATATTTTTCATTTACAATAAATTTTTAATGTAAACCGTGTCGGTGTTTTTAGTCTGTTCAAAAAAATAAAATAATTAAATACACCACCCAGCGACATTCTAATTTTGTTTTAAATTTAATTTTTAATATTTTAAGCTCACTTTCTGGGAAACGATACTATCATAAATCATGTAAGGGAAGCTGGTTTTCTAGTGAAGCACGTACTACCTCACGAGCCCCTTACATCGTAAAATTAATTTTAAAAATAAATTATAATATTATTTTTTTGTAATCATATTAATTTTTTGTTTTTTTTTTCCAGTGGGATCAATATGAGAAATGCTTACGTCAAATCTAAATATTATCCCAAAAGTCCAAATTATAAATTCAAATCTAAGGTACCTTCCCAGCCGGAAACATCACCACAATATAATTCTCTCGCGACATCTACCATAATGAAAAAATATCGTTATTTCGCTCTACCTCCCTATGCGTCTTCCCATTATAGGTTAAAAACAATAAATATTAGGGATTTGAGCCTCTGAACGATTAATCGTATGAACGTTTAAATTTTAATTTTGAGATTATTTATTGAGGCTCCTAGAATCGTTCATTCATGATCTTTCTAAAATTATAAGTTCGATGTTAATTGATATCAATGTTATTAGATACAAAAAAAATACTTACTCTCATATAACCTTAATACGATAAATAAACTTATATGTTTAGTTATGCAAACATATTTTTCTAGATTCCCTACTTACGATAATAACTATAGACAAAATCCAAATTTTAATGATTTGTGGGTTCGAAAACATTATGATGAGTATAAGTAAATATAAATTTATGAAATTTATTCAAAGTATTTGACTTAAGCAGCTAATTAGTTTCACCTTATAAACAAGGCAGTGATTAGACTTATTTGCTTTTATGGGGAAAAAAAAAATTACGTTTGTTTGAGCTTATATAGCGAAAATTTTTCCCATAGTCATAAATATAAGATAATTGCATTATCATATAAAAGTATCTTTTTACAAATTATGAGTATAATTTTTAAAAAAATATACCATAAATTTAAATAGGATGAAATATAAGGAAAATTTATAACTTTTAAAAAACAAACTTCTTGAACATCAAATTGACATATGGTTTAAAATAGTATAGAGTAAAACTTAGGTCAACAATATCGATCATGTTCAGAAAAAGATAATAAAGGATAGAACTAGCAAAAATTTAAATGGTAATTGCTTATCATTATTCTTTATTGAAATATAGACATTTTTTTTTCTAAATCCTATATTTGGGATATATCTTTATTAGTATATAATATATGTAAAACTAAAATTTTATATTTGATGTAATTTTTTTTTTAGCTTTTGTAGTTTTTACTGTTATAACGGATCGTATTTATTTTATAAGTAATGTGCATAAATATAAACACATTGTTTTATTTTTTTGATTACAAATATACAATTTTACCCTGTAATTCTAAATGCTAAGATGTTCTTGATGAACCAAACTCCCTAAGCTTGCACAAAGGTTCTAGCAAATAATCTTAATTGTTCAACACACGAGGAACCAGTCATACGCTCAATATCGTATCATTAACACTTGTTACTGATGAATATTATACATAACTAGTGTTGATAATTAATTGGGTCTACTAATGGCCCGACTTTTAATATTTTTGAAATTCTGCCCCCTTTGGCTTGAATGATAAATTCGAAATGAACTCGTTATTTAAGTTAATGTAAATTTTTACGATTTACATTCTCTAAAAGTTTGGCTCCATCCGCCTAAACAACAAGACTAGCTGTGATATATACATAGACTGATGTATGGTGCAACAATCATGTTGAGTTGAGTGTATGAATTTATTCATGAGTGTTGCACTCTAAACTGTGTGCCAGCCTAAGAGTTGTGCGGATCTTGGAATTTATATTTAAGGATATATTCCGAAAACAATAGGATGCAGAATAAAGAGGGTACTTCACTAATAAAAGAATAATGATAAGCAATTCCAACTTAAACTTATGTTTAGTCAATCGCCGGTCTTAACCTTTTCTACCCTGTTCTGGACATAATCGGCAGATCTTATATCAATATGATCCTAATGCATTATTTTAAAGTTAATATTTCTAAAGTTTTAAACTATTTTTATATTTCACTCTTCTTTCTCAAATTGTGTTTCGGTCTGAGATAGCGTAATACGATTTTAAAACCTACTTAATCTTAAAATAATATGACTGTATTTAGATGACTTATTGATGTTAGAAATAAATGTATATTTATTTATGTTAATATGCATTATAATTTATTATCAATTATTTATTAGAAAAGGAACTACATATTCTAATGAAAGATTTTCTGATGATTACAGAAATTTCAAGAGGGATATTCAAAAATCTAATATTTCGAACAAATATTTACTAAATATATCAATAATAAATATTTTTTGGTCGCCATTTATTTATTTAATATATATGTTCAAGATATAGTTTATACTTGTTCTTCTAGTAATTTATAATAAAATAGATAAATTTTTATTTTTTTTTTCCTTTTCAAATTGAAAATTTCATATAGTCAAATATAAATTATCGAGTATGGTGTAAATTATTGAGTTATTTTATTATTTGTAAATAAAATGCTAGTTCTTGTATGATCTTTATATACCTTAGCAGAAATGAAATCGTTTATATTATGTCAAATTTGACTAATAAAACATTATTATTGCACTAAATAATTTTATTTATTTTACACTATGGACCAGTTTGGTTGTAAATAAATAATTTTTTTTATTAAGGCTGTGTCTAAAATTTAAAAAAAATATAAATAAACACATTTTGAAGAAGAAAAAAAATAACAATGATTTTAATGTAAAAAAAAAATAGTGCTAAATCATTTTTCGTCATTTACAAAAAATTATTTTTTAAAAAATAAATAATAGAAATTAATAAATTTGAATAGGAAAAACTAGTAACAGTAAGTAATATTAAAGTATGTTATTTTCCGTATTTTATTCTCGTTTCTTTGGTTGTGTTTTTTTTGGTTTTGTTTTTTTGTGTTTTTTTTTATATTAATTTTCATAAAACTTGGCTGTCTCCAAAATGTTTTATTATTAATTTGCGAAAATTTATAAATCATGAAATTTTTTTAAAAACATTTTGTACACAGCCTAATAAAAATATATTAAAAATGGCTACGCCACTGAATACTTCTAGAAATCTATGGAAGCATTTCATACTTTTACAATAAAATGAATGGCGAAGGGACTGAAAAAATTTATTCTTTCGCACTTATCTGATTTTTCGCAATTATAAGATAAATATAATTTTTTGTTAGATATTAGTCATTTTGTGTTATTATTAATAATATATAATTTACCTATATTCTAAGCATTAAAGCTATCAAATGAGTGAAAGTAGATAATACAATTTTACACATTGAGAAATGCTTTTTATAAATTGTAATATTAAAATTACACACATGATATTTTATTTTTCTTTATTATATTGAATATATAAACAGATAAATAATTTTTATAAAATTAATAATTGATTTGAAATAATTTGCAATGATTATTTAGATACAATGACAACCTTCTTAATGATTCTTAGTCCTTCAAGTTAGCATACATGCTTGTTAAAGATGCCGTATTCATTCAAAACTTTGCTTTAGTTAGGCAAATAATGGTTCAGTTATCTTTATTAAATCATTCATGTAATCCCATTCTGAAATATCATACCCTTATTATTTATTTAAAAAAAATAATTTTCAAAGGTCTGCACTCTCTCTTTTATTGCAGATTGTATAATATTTTGTTTTTCCTAAATCTCTGCCGCCTATTTAAAAATTGCAGATATTTATAAAAATTAGATCTTCGTCAAATGTTCTACTGCACATTCTATCCTTTTATAGCTAAACAAGCCCATTCAGGCTGCAATTTTTGTCTTCATCTGTGTAAACGTACCAAATTAATAATGCTGCCTCTGTTTTCGGGAAACTACGTTTCCAGATTTTTTTAGTTGCTCCTATAATAGTGTTGTTAACACGTAAATAGGACCTCACATTTTTCTTAGTTAACTAATATTTCGCAATTAACCGATTGACATTTAAAAGTATTTATACTTAAGCGACATGTTATTAAGCGGATTTGGAGGTAAATACATTGTGGAGCTTTTCCCAAATATAATAAGATTGCTGTATATTCTGTAAACAATACCAATTAATACAAGCATAAGTGAGAGGATCCTTTCTTCATTAATGAGAATAATAACTTATCTCAGAAGTACGACATCAGAAAATGGATTGAATGGAGTAGGTCTGCTTAATATAGATAGATATTTAATTCCCAATACACAACCTACTAAAAAAATGCGCAATCGCATAGAAGATTAAATTTCCATATGAACGAAATTTTAATAAACTTTCAAAATCATTATATAATGTTTAATTCAAAATAATACTGTTCTATTGTCGGCTTTTATAGTTATAATATTTTTTAACAATATTATATTCGCTCGAAGTGTTCATTTTAAAAATATAATTTGCTATAGTAAATTTTAAATCATGATTGTTTCTAATAAATTCTGAATGTGAATGTACCAAAATATATTATTAAAAAATTACCCCATAAAGTAGGAATAAATTAACAATAGCCTTATAATGATAACCACCTTCTATAAATTATATTAAATAAACATTTTAGATCCTAATAAGATATTATAACCGAGTGGTATTCTTAATTAGCGATTTTATCAGTATATTACCAGCATGCTTAGAGCACTGCCTCTCTTATAACACTATTGAAATACGTGAATCTCGTCTAGGATGCCTAAAATATTTATCTACTCTTTTAACGATTTACATCATTGAACAATGATTAAATTTGATCCATGACAATAGCATAAAATAAAAGCTGCCTTTGGGACTAAAGTAATAAAAACCTGCCTCTATCGATCTATTCACTCAGGTATTATGCACCATCTTTACCCAACAAAAATAGAAGTATATTTATATAACTAAGCTTGAATCTAATATTTTTTAATATCAAGCTCAATGGTGTTACCCGTACAATAAATATCTATTTATAACCGGGTTAGGCGTTTTACTGTTTTGAATATATATACTATCTGATTTCAAAACATATATGTACCATCAACTATAACTGAAAAATATCTGTTAAATTCATTTTTTTTTGAATTTTTAATAATCATATCTATAATGGTATTTATTTATTATTCGATAAAAGATTGAAATATAGCTTGGATTTTAATCCATTTGTTTTATATCTATTCTTTTATTTTTTTTATATATTATTTGAGAACTTATAAAAATTTTCAAATATCCATTCAAATTTTAAGAAGCAATAACATTGTTGCCCCCTTTCCACCATTGTAGAGACACTGTCTTAACCGACCACTTATAAAATTAGAAAGGCCAACATTTCTGACGTTATCCATGCAAAATCTCCGTTTTTGTTTCCTATCGCTATATTTACGTGTAAACTTTATTCCCAAAAAATTCTTATAATGCGATTTAACTGATTAACAACCTCTTACTAAAAATTTTAAGGGCCCACATTGTTTGCGTTATTTATTGAAAATATTTTTTTTTGTTTTCTATAGCTATAATCACTATAAAACATTAGCCCAGTTTGACCATTTGCCGACTCATAAGCGACCTCTTCCAATTGAACCCCCATTTCTGGCTTAAATCTATGGCAAAAATATTATATTACAATAAAAGGGAATAAATATATATAATTAAATGAAAGTAAGTATCTTTTTCTTTATTTGATATCATTTTCCCATTATGTATTTCAAAAAAAAAACGTTAAAAACAAATTAGAAATTATGTAAAAATAAATTAAATATAATTTGGTATTTGTGTGATGTGAATAGAAAAAAAATCAATAAACAAATTATATTGAATACTACAAATTAAAATGAGAAAAGGGGATTTATAATAGTTGATTATATGATGGAATATTTAATGATACTTGTTAGAGGGGTATGTCGTTTCGATTAGAATAAAATTTTGTAAAAGATTTAGTGAGAGATTTTAAGAAATGGGACAGAAAAGTTAATATAAAGTAGTAAAAAAGGAGACAGAGAAAGATTATGTCATCATGCGGGCAACTGATACTTTTGAAACCTAAAAATTCTAAAAAATCTTGTCAAAAAAGAGAACAAAAAGGACTATCAGTATTATTAAAAATCAAAAAATAATAAGAACCTCGACTTATATTCTTTTTATATATCATTACAATTTATAATTTTAACATCAATAGATTTTTGTTTCAGTTAAACTCCTTTCTATCCCCCTTTTTCAATCAGATTCTTTCCAGTGTTTTTCTTATTTAATATCAATTAAATTAAATGGCGTGATTGTCAATCGGTATAAAAAACATGTCTAATTTATTCCATAAATCAGTTATAATATGATTTTTAACAACAAGATATACAGAGCCGTTACTGCTAACCAGTGTTTTTAAATGGCACATTTTGAGCTTATTTGTAAAAACGGCTAACTCAATATTTCATCCAAAAAAAAATATTACACAAGCCTGAAGATTTTGTTTATAGGCGGAACAAAGGTCTAGATATATCTATTATAGAAATTTCGAGGCTTTTTTCTGGCTAAAATATTGAGTTAGCCGTTTTTAAAAATCGGCCCAAACAAGCCGTTAAAATGACTAGCTAAAGTTTATTTCTCAAAGAAAAAAATTTTAAAATGTATTATTAATAGAAGGAGAGTATTCTTGCTCTTCAAAAGTAATTTTTTATTAAAGTCTATTGCCATTTATAGGTGTTATAAAAATGGTAAAAAAAACATTTCACATTCTAACCTGTCATATTTTTATTCAGGCCCACATCAATATGACAGGGAAGTAACGGTATATAGTTTTCTAATTTTAGCAATATTTTTTTGTTTTTGATATGTATGGTATAAACTTAGAACAATATCTCGAAACATTAGAAGGTCTTCCTTTAGAGATGAAAAAGAAGTTTACTCAAATGAGAGAGTTAGACAGAAAAGTTATTGATAATTTGAGATATATAGAGGATGTATCACAGTCATATATTTCACAATTTTCTGGTTTACATGCCAACGAAAAGACTGAAAAACAGAAGGCAATTGCAAAAAAATACAAAAGATGCAAAGAAATGTCGGATTCCAAAATACAATTGGCCATTCAAACTTATGAAATGGTTGATAAACATATTCGCCGGTTAGATGCAGAATTGGCCAAATTTGAGGCGAAATTAAAGCATAAAGCTGCTATAATAAACTTATCCAATCAAAATAATCTTGCTATTAATACAAATGATAATCATGATGGAAATAAAGTCAATACAAGTGTTAAGCGTAAATTATTCCAGAATAACATTACTCAAAATGATAGCATTGTCCAAAAATCAAATAGTAAAGTCTTAACTAAATCTGCTGATTCTATAAAGAAAAAAAAGAGTAAAATTTTAATACCAATTTTGTTTAATATTTGTTATTTAAGTGAAAGAAAACAAATTTATTATCAAAAGGAGATTGGAAATTGAGGATGATGAGACACCAAGAATGAATTTAAAAGGTATTAATTATATAATGTTTATTTTGAGTATGAAACCCTTAATTGGACAAATCTAAAAACCAGAGATTGGAACCTTTTAAAATTTTAAATTGAAAATTTATAACTACTGCTAATTGTATTAGCTTGATATTATATATGCAAAGCTGAATCTTAGAAAATATATTGATTAAAATAAATATGCATATTTTCAATTAGGGTTGAAAGACATTTTTAGAAATAGTGTTCATAATCATTTTAGGCAAAGACTACTTACCCCTGTTTTGGGGTAAATAGAAAATTATATTCTAAACTAGGTATCCCCATAATGGAGTAAGTTGAAATATATATTAGATTAGGTTATGGGGTAAATAAGAAGGTTTTTTTGAGGATATATATTCCAATGAAAAATTAAAAAAGTTTTTTTAAACTAACCTTGTTTTTTGTAATATAACCCTTTTTTACACTTTGATAATAAACATTGCTTTTTTAAATGTAGTTGACTTTTTCCCCAAAATAAAGAGTTTATTTAAAGCAAACCTTGTTTTTTTAAACTATCCTTGTTTTTCTTGTAATATAACCTTGTTTTTTTAGGGAGATTGGGGTATCATGGTATTGATATGACTATGGCAGAATCTATAGAATTTAAGAAAATTTATTATTTAAATAAATTACCATAATTTGATGCATTTTATTACCTTAATTTCTCCATAATGTTGAGTTGTTTGTCAAAATATTTAAATTTATCCTGTGATAGATGTAAAAAATCTGCTTGGGATGTTAATTTCTATATCATTTTATTATATTTTTCTCTTTGTGTATTTTTTTTTGTAATTATAGGTGTTTGATTTATGATAATATTTGGGCAGCTCACTTTAGGTGTGTCAGGATTACATGAATAGTCCTGGAAAGTATTTGTCCAAATTATGTGTAGCTCTTAAAGCCATAATATGACAACAAGGCAGGACAATTTTGATATCTACAGGAACATTGTTCAAATGATATCTTAATCTTATACTATTTATCGAATAAATCAATAGGTGTGTATATATGAATACCAACAGCTAGCATTTTTAATGGGCTACTCTAAGCTATTTCATAAAGTAAATTTTTATATACATATGCAGTTATCAATTTAATATACTTGAATTCTGGAGATAAAGGATAGTGTTGTTAAAAAGCAAAAGCCTAATAGAAATGAATCCATTAATAATAAATTTAAGCAATTCATTGCAAAATTTTTAACGTTGAAAGTTTTTTCAAATATATTTACAGCAATAGTAAGTTCTATGGCACTTGAAAAAAAATTATTGAAAGGTTATGGGTGATATAAAAGATCCACTATTCACTTATGACTCTCTCCAGAATTCAAATATATAGTAGAGATTTCTTAACAGCATAAGCATTTTAAAAAATCCTTTATGAAATATCAGTAGAGTAGCTCAATAATATTCCATAGGTTGGTATTAATATATTCACACCTGTTGATTTATTGGATATAGAGTATAAGATTGAGCTATCATTTAAACAATGTTTCTATTAGGGGTGTAATACCACTTTTTGAAGGACGATCCGATTTGATATTCTCAATATTAAATTGATATTGGCCGATTACTGATCCGATATCATATCTAATTTTGTATTCTGTATAGATACCAATGGTTTTAATTTTAATATACTTTTTATTAGTGTAACATCTATAATTTAACTCTACCATAGCTTATGTCATTTGAATATATATTCAATTTTATTGCAATTCTAAAAGTATATAAAATATTTTTTATTATTGAATCACTTTTATTATATAACATTAATCTATATACATAATAAGTAAACAAATATATTATAAAATTTGAAATTAATAATTAAAATAATATTTAACATAATATATCATAGATTTCTTTTTAGAAATACTAAAATTTTAAATTTATCAGAGGTCAGCCTGTGGCGATGGTAACTGTCAATATCACCAGCTTCACTAAAAAGAGATTATCGCACTTTATAAACAGAATGCACAAATAATAACAATATGGCAGAATGTTTATTAATTAATTATTATTATTAAAAAAACATACATAAAAATGGATTTCGAATTTATTTATAAAAATAAATGATTTTAAATATAACTTTAAAATAAAATTGTATAACATTTTATTTTTGTTAAAGACGCCATTTTATATCAGATAGGATTGGGAAATTTTATAATATTGGCCGATAACCTATATTTTAAAATGGGTGAAATATCGGTATATCCCTAGTTTCTATTATGGCTTTTACATGACAAATACTGCCAAAATACAGTAAAAGATGGACAAAAGCCTATTTTATATCTTGTAATCTAGACAGCGGGCTTCCCAATATTCCCATAAATCAGACACATATTAGCACTACAAAAATGATTATCGTAAAGAGAAAAATGTAATGAATTTTTGGTATAATTTAAATTTCCCTTTTTAAATAAAATTGGACCCTGCCCAGTTTTGTAAATTTTTTTATACCATTCTACTAGCCCTTGCCACCACAATGCTAAGTATTTTTTTGACCTTTTTTTAATAAATAAAAACAATTATATTATTTTCAAATTCTTGGCTAATTTTTATACATATGATTAATCTATTCATTCATTTGTGATAAAAGCTACCAAAAACAAAAGGTCGAACAATATCATCTCTTCCCCGTTCGAGCCATCATCTTCCAATTACAACTCTACACCCAACACATCCTTGGATAAACTCAACCAATTTTCCTCCTTGCATAAATCGAGTCCAGCTGTGAACGATTCCCCAACTAACCTACTTCCTTCGACTAGCTCTTTTCCTTCCTTTTCCCACCCCTCTCAAATTTTGGATATGCCCGTCGATCCAAATGAACCAACATATTGTGTTTGTCATCAAGTTTCTTATGGGGAGATGATAGGTTGTGATAACCTTGATTGCCTCGTGGAATGGTTTCACTTTGGTTGTGTAGGCTTGACACATAAACCCAAAGGAAAATGGTATTGTCCAACGTGTAGCCTAATGTTTAACAAATCCCACAAAAAGAAAACATCTAGTTAAATTATATTTATCACCAAAAATTAATTATTTCATATATTATAAACGAGAAATTATATTAATTATGATTTATTGTTATCAGATTTTTATTGATAAAAAAAAATTCTCATAATTTTATTATATTTTAAATAACAAAGGAAACAGTATTTTTTGTTTTAATTTATATCAAATATTATACGTAAAATGTAGTTGGTATTATGATAAATTGGGAGATGGATATAAAAATATTTTTATTTGAACCAGTGATGAAGCTTCATGGGAAGCATTGCTTACCTTGAAATTTTCCTACAAAATTCTTAAATAAATTTAATATAATCTTTATAATATGTTTACAAAAAAACTAATCTGACTTCGTTAATAATTTTTATAACGTTAAAAATATTTTATTACGTTAAGAAGAATTACTATTATTTTTACTACGTTAAAAAAATTATTATACTACATTAAAAAAAATACATAAGGGAAACAAATTTAATATTGCTTATTTTTTTTAATAAATAAAGAGAAAATCATGCCGATGTATTGTGTATTTAAAAAATAAACATTGGGGAAGCAAATAAAAAATGTTTATTTTTTTTAATAAATTAAAGGAAAAAAAATTTTTTGTATTTTTTTCCTTACTTTTTTTAAATAAAAAATTTTTTCTTTTTTAAAAGCAATAATTAATGTTTAATAATTTTAATTATATTATTTAAAATTCATTAAGATTATCAGAGTTGTATAAAAAATATCTATATACTATTTCAGTGGTATCTGTATCTATTTATAGATACTTTTTAAGATATACTTTATTTAACGCTTTTTTTATTTAAAAAATAAAAATAATTAAGTGCAAATTTGTTCTCGTACGTATGAGCATATAATTTAAATAAATATATATTATAAAAATATTAAGACTAAAATATATATATAATATTAAAACTTATATATAAAAAACGATATAAATACTATTTTTTCCCTATTTATATCTATAGATATCAGTTCAAGATTGTGAAGGATATTTTTATCATGCAAAGGATTTTATAAATCCTTGCTTAGCCATGATGCGCATAATTATAAACAATACCATTGAGATGCACAAAATTATTAAGAATTTTGTAAAATAATTTTATAGATATTAGTACCCCGCCAACCATAATTTTTTATTAATTTTAAATCTATTTTTGATTTCGATAACTTATTAAAAAATTTAAAATCTAGCAATACTTGATCATTTTACTCAAAGACAAATTACTTATTTATATACTTTTTCCTATGGTTTGACTAATAAAAATATTTAAAAAAATCGATTGCTTTCCTATTAGTAAACTTGACGTTTCATCACTGTTATAGTAGTGTTTTATATTCTAAAATGTCATAGGGGTAAAATGATAAAAAAGCTGAAAAATAGCAATTTAAAAAAAACTATTATAATGAATCACATGATTTGATCTTTATTTTCTGAATAAATGGATATAATTCTTATTATTAGAACGCATATTCCTCCCGTATAATTTTACTTATACAAACGGTCTCATCTATCATTATTGTAACATTTTAATAATTTAAATCAATAACTAGATTTGATTAGATTTTAAGAAAAAATCAAATATATAAATTTACAATAAAAGTTCTCATGTGACATTTAATATTTTTTGTTTTTACCAAGGATATTGGAAATAAATAATTAATCTTATCCTTTTCATGGAATTGGAATATACGGTTTTGATAAATTATTTATAAATAAACAATAAGTAGCAAGTTTTAGGCATTATTTCTTTAAATTTCAAAATTAAATTCATATAAAAATAAAATTTTATAGGTAATAATGTATCCATAAATTAATTTTGTTATTAATAGTTGTTTATTAAAATAGTAGCGTGCTATTGTCATTTTAAAAAAATAACGTGTTATTAGCTATCGTTGCAAAAAAGGGTAGCCTGCTATAGTAACTCTGAAATGAGGGGCTAGTTAATGTATTTTTGATTAAGTTTATGTATATTTTCAAAAAATAAAGTGACATTTTTTGGCAAGAGCCCGTTATAATTGGCTATAAATATATCAGTTATAGTTTGTACCAGGAACATTCCTAACTCTTTCCTTAATGATGCACTATCTAAAGGCGTTAAATTGAAAAATCAATGTATAAAATTGACATTATAAGGACATGAAATATTCTCTAAGTTTAAGACTCATCTTTTATTGTGTTTCTAAACGAATCGAAGTTGATCCTAAGGGCAGTAAATATTTTAGGGAAATCACTAGTCCTTACCATGCATCGGTAACAAAGCAAATTCTAAAAAATGTTATTTATATTAAAAAATAAATTAAGTGTGTGCAAAAATAATAAACCAATCATATAAGCAACCCTATATTTTGAAAAAATTAACATAAAAAAAATCACATTAAAAAATGAATAAAAATAAATATTGTACTTTTACAAAGAATCGATAAAATCAGGGGCGTCGCTAGCCTTTACAATCTCAGGGGCTCAACTAAAAATTTTATGGAGGGCGAAGCCCCCATTTTCTAAAATTTGCCGGCCTTCGGTTCGCTTTTGCCCGATCTTCAGCCGGGTTATATATTAATATATTATACTTTTTTTAAATTTGTTAACTCTGAACAATTATTCTGAATTTTAATTCTCATTTATTATATGCATACAAAATAAACTGCTATATAAATAATAAAAACAATACAAGACATTTCTAAAATTAAAATTTTTTAATACAAATTCTATTTTTTTACAGTATAAAATATTTTCGATTGCTGATATAAAAAAATTTGCGTCTAAAGAATTACACGTGATAAAAAAGATTAATTAATTCATACATATGCCTCATTTGATAATAGTTTTTAAAAACCACATAATGCAATAATATAATTCTTAGCAACTTACATTGACAAAAGGTTATCAAACTAATATAATTCACTGTTACCATTTTAGACAATGTTTTATAGAATGGACTAATAAATAAAAATTTATAGGCCTAAACCAAATCAACAATTTTTAAAAATGAGAGTATAAACGATCAATCCAAATAATAAAACTATATGGTGGTTTGTAGTTTCCTTTTAGATGACATGATAGAAGCTAGATAAGTAATCGAGAAAATTATTGTGAGATATTAAATTTCTAAAAGATTATCTTCCATTTTAAATGATATATAAACGACTACACAGTTGACTATTATTGTTTATCTAAAATATGCAATCATATGCTCTCAGCTCATAGTAATAATCTTAAATTACATAGCAACACAAATAATAGATGCTGGTTAATTTGCAGTATGACAATTAACGATGTAAACTAGTGTCAGAATTTATTATGTTGGATAAATTGATAAAATAAAAACATTAAAAATCTTTGTAAGAAATAATTGAGCAAATATATTGAAGCCTTGAGGAATTTACACGGCAAGGATGCCATGTTAGAAATGAACATTTTGGAACTATAAAATAAGGACCAGAATAATATGATGAAATAAGTAAGATTATATATATTGCCGCACCACCGGTATATTATATCTTTAAATAAAAGTAGTTTTGTTGATTGATTTAAATTTGAATATTATTTATTTTATATGTTGATTGATTTAAATTTGAATATTATTTATTTTGTATTTAAGTTGTTCAATTAACTTGTAAATTTTATATATATATAATGTTTTTAGATGAAAAATATAGTAATAAAAATAGTTAAAATAAGTCCTTACATTTATTATTTACATGGTGCCCCGGTGGTACGTTTTTCGTTTTAAATTAAATTTAAATGATAAAAGTTTTAAAGAAAAATTTAAAAAATATCCTTACCTTGAATTCTTTTGTTAAAAATAAAAAGTAAACGAATTACTTATCAAATTCGTCGTTCGATATTGGAGATGATAAAAGGACAAAAAAAATTTTTTGACTTTTCTTTTCGATAGTCAAAATTTTATCCAAATTTACAAATTTATAAAAAGGTAAAAAAAAATATATATATATAAAAAAAATAAAAGAGTATATATATACAAATAAAAGAGTTATATGATAAAAAATATTTTCTCATCAAAATAATGTTTTGTTTTAAAACTTATGATATACCTCAACACGTTATTATTGATAATATGTTAAAAGAAATGGGAATATCTAAAGAATTTTCTTATGTACGTGATAATAGGACAAACGAAATTGTTTTTTATTTTAAATCTTTACGAAAAATGATTAATGCATTTATGTCTCTAAATGGGAAACCATATATTCTTGATGACAATAATTTTATTTTTATATTTTGTAAAATTATTGAATATTAAAATTTAAATATCTTTATGCTTTAGATATTTGACATTATATTTATAGAAAATTTTCCCTATAAATTTACGCAATATTTAACTTATAGAATATCAATAAATTTTTTTTTTAAAAACTTAGTCACGAATTAGTATTAAATTTTTCAAAGACAAATTATATTGAAACTTAGCGGATTAAATCCTCTTTACGAATTCGAATTAGAATTTTTATAGATAAACTATTAAAACTTAGTGGACCATATTCTCTTGATTAAAATTAAAATTTTTATACAACTTAAATTTGATTTTAATGAACTACAATGTTTTGCTTTTACGATTTTAAATATTGAAAGTTTACTTTACTCAAATAAAATTATATCATGGACGAAAAATTAACTCTTACACACACTCAATATGTTCCTAAATTTCCCAAGTTATCAGGAAAATTATCTGAGACTTACCTTAACTTAATAGAAACATACTTTGAAGGACATATTGAGTCAGACTCATCAAAAATTAGGACACTACTATGCAGCTTACCAATTGAGATTGTAGACCAAGTTACGTCGATATGTTCTAAAGCACAGTTAAAAGATTTTAATATTGTTTTTGGTAAATTGAAACTGTTAATTCCAAGTGAGGACATTAATGTAAATATAAAGAACTTTAATTTAGCGGTACAAGGTGCCGAGGAGTCCTTCCATACTTTTTATTTTAGAATTTCAAAACTTCATAAAAAATGCGATTTTGATAACGATACAAGAATGATTGAGAAATTAATAACTTGTTCTTTAAATTATAATATTAGAAGGAAGTTAAATAAACATAAGCACGAAGGTTTAGATAAGATGATGAAATTAGGAGTGGAGTTAGATGGCAGCAATATTAAACCAGACGTTAGCGATACAAATTATGTAGACAATAATAAAAAATTGGATAAAAATAAAAAGTTTTACAATTTAAACATGGATAAAATACCATGCAAAAGTACTTTTAGTAATAATGAGAATAATTCTAATGATTATGAACGTAATAATTTTAAAGAAAATAATTTTAA